TTGTGTTCACGAACCGACTGATCTTGTACATCCTTCTCTGCATTTACAAGCGTCTCAGACTGACTAGCCATTACCGACATGCATTTGACATAGCTGGAAAACGAGCCCTTATGTTTCCGTCTAATTGCTTTAATGTCATCTTTAGAAATTCCTTCTTTATTTATGATCGCGTCATAAGCTACTTTGGTCTTTTCCCACAAAGCCTTTAGTTCGTCTTACTGTATTGCAAGGCCGTGTTTGTTTTGCTCTGTGGCTGGTGTGCTATTGTAATCTGATTCAAATTCGATTACAGATTCTGCCAAACGAATAAAGGTCTCCATTGCGGTAATTGATCTTCAGATTACTCTTTACGAATTAAAATTTGTTGTAGTTTTCGAAATAAGTATGTTCACTATAAATAGGAATAGACCATGTATATTCCAAACTGTCGTATATGTATAAATGCACAGCGAAACTTTTGCCAAATTGTCGAAAAGAGTATAAGAGTACCAACGTAGATTGTTTAAACTCTACGAGCCAAAACCCAGAAGCAGTCAAGAAAACACTACGATTTAAAATTGATATCTCTTTCAGAAAATTGATGATTTTTTTATTTTTTCAGAAAAGTGATAAGCATATGTATGTATATATATGTTTATGTGCTACTCGCCACCCAACACTGCCGACGAAGGTATATATATATATGTATAAGCATATATGTATGCAAAAATTCGTGTGTACACCCAACGCAACGTCGTCAAAACTAATCCAAATGGACTTAATTTCAATTTTTACCAGCAAATATTTCGCAAATGGACTGAATTTAGCGTGGTGAAGTGATTTTTGTGAAAAAAAATGTGAAGGAAATTAAAAATTTGAGGTTATGTGACCTCAAACACAGTGAATCAGTGTAATGCAAATTTAAGAAATGTGCTGCACGAATTAAATTGCTTAAGCACAACGAAATTGAAAGTGAAATTTATCGGCGCTTTGTTAACTCGAGTAGCAAATCGAATGTGGCAAGTGGCAAAATACCAAAAAATTGTTGCAATATGTAGTGAGCCGGAAAGGAATGTGTGCTGCACTTTGATATTTAAGTTACATATATGCCACTGTTCACTGTGATATGTGTAGGTTGCACGGTGCACCAATTACGAACTGTTAATGTCGATGGACACTCTTCACTGCGGTTATTTGCACAAGTTCAACTTTCTTTTTTTTTTTTTGTTTTTTCTCACAAATCACTTCAACTCGCTTGGATTCACTTTGAGGTTATATCTGGTAATTTTTTTTGTGCACTTGAATTTGTAACCACGTACCTTAGTTTCCTAGTAGCTGGTGAAACTGCTTGTTGGACGATGATGTTATCAGTGTTTTTCTGGTTCGTGGCACGAATTAGTGTGGCTGTGGCTGTAGCAGGATCGCTGTTATGTGCAGCTTGATGTGACCAAATTCCTTTTTCGTAGAAGTGGCTCAATTACTTTTTGGGTTCGCTTTTTCTTCTAATGTGGACTTTATGTTGGTTTCACGGCTCCTAAGGACCAATAAAAACGTCAATGTGACGCAGTGCGGCTCAAGTGTGGTGCGCAAAATGGTCACAATGAGGTTTGAAAATAATAGGAAAAAAAGACAAATGAAACTCGGTTTAGTTTAATGGTTTTATTAATTGTCCAAGTATGTTGGTTTACAATGGTTTTACCTGAAAATAATGTGGCCTGGTAGCTGCAGTTCTTTCTCCTTGGTCTCCCGATGTGAAAGTGAAAAACTCTAAAGCCGTGATTTTCGTTCGAACCGCCGGACAAAGAAAAGACGTTGAGGGGAAATTCAACGAAAGATACTTTATCTGGCGGGAAACTTAAACTAACGGCGCGAATATATAATATACATACATGTGTACAAGTATGCATGCATAAATGTACACATATGTGAATGACACATTAGGGTGGTGCATTATATTTGGAAATATTTAGGCTTAAGGCCTAAACAAAGGTCATTTAGACAGAGCACATTTAAAATTCATTGTAAACTGGTTTGAGATCGTTGATATAAAAATCATTTTACACATACACTTGTGATCAGCTGATTAAGTCATCAATATTTTGATCGATTGTGGCTGTTTTTCTTTAGTTTATTTAATATTTATTATTTTTCCATGAAAGGCTAGCTCATTATATAACAAACAAAATATAAATCCACATTTCAAACTTTGTGCAAAAATTATAATTAGCAACGCGAAGAGGTTTTTCGCGTTCGTCTTAAGTAAGTGAAAACACTCGCGTTCTGGTTAAAACGTTATAAATGTTTTATTGGACAATTAAATTATGTTTAAGTACATATATACGAATGCAAATATATAGGTTAATTACGTCCGGGATATGATTCTGTGGTGGCCGTTTTCCCGTGTGCGCGCGTTGACTGTTGAATTTGGAATGGTTTACCTTTCTCCACTTTCTTTTTGCAGTACCAAGAAAGTTGAAAAGCAGAGAAGGTGTTAGGGTGCTCCTTCATCACAATCGGTTGATTGTACACTGCCCCCCC